ACAACTAACTACACACACACACACACACACACACACACACACACACAGACACACACAGACACACACATACACATGTGACACCCTCGTCCATCACCATCCTGGCATGGCTCACGGCTGCATCGTAATCAGCGGACCTGTGCACGATCTTCGCTGCTGCGAGATACGCCATGCCCTCCGCCACGTCGCTCGCCATCTTCACAAGCTGCTGCGTACTCAGCGCAGACGGCTTCCCTTTCTGTGAACGCGTGTGTGGGCGTGTGGGTATGCATATGTGTACGTGCATGTGCGTGCTCAAGGGTGCATGAGAATGACGCATTCCTCAGCGTCACGGCCGTGTCGTTACCAACAGCAGCATAAGCAGCAACAGAAGCAACAGAAGCAGCATCAAAAGCAACAGCAGCATAAGCAGCAACAGCAGCATCAAAAGCAACAGCAGCGGCGACACCTTTGGGCGGTTGTGGCGGAGAACTTCCTTGAGATCGCCACGCGACATGAACTCCATGATCCTGGTGTACCAGGAGACAAGAGACAATTGACAGCAGGTGACGGCAGGAGGGCGGTAAGGGGAGGCAGGAGGGGGGTGGGTGGTGCACACACATTTACACACACACACACAAGTTAGCACACACAGACGCAGACAGACACAGACACACAGACACACAGGCACACAGACACAGACACAGACACACAGACACACAGACAGACAGACAGACAGACAGACAGACACACACACACACACACATGGTGCTCCATGCGACGTACATGTACATGGGCTTGCGCTTGGTGCAGACGCCGAGGAGGCGAACAATCTGGTGCGGCCCGTCGATGTTCTGCATGATGCCGGCCTCCTGCAGGAACTCCTGCTCAACTTTCGACCCTTTCGACGTCAGCGTCTGGAGTGCGCGACAGCGGCGAGTGGTGGGTGGCGAGTGGTGTGTTGTGTGTGGTATGTGCGCATGCAAGTGTGTACGTGGGTTGATACGTGCGATGAAGGTCAAATGTGTGTGTATGTGAGTTTATGTGTGCATGTCCAAGTGCACGTGCCCGGTGCGATGTGCAGCGTCAACAGGAGACACGACGTCAAGTGTGTGCATCCTACACGTCAGAAGACTGCAGGCCGTCTCACCTTGACAGCAACCCGCGTCTTCTTTTCGCCTTTGAGGATGCCGTGCGCAACTCCAACGTACACCTGCAGCATGCAGAGGGGAGAGAAGGGAGGGCAGTCGCGCATGCACATGGATGACTATTGTTATTACTTCACCGCACGACAGCGAAAGTCAGCGCCCTTCAGAGGTGGTGGCACCACACGCACACGCACGCGCACGTAGGCACGCGCACCTTGCCAAAGTTGCCGGAACCAACGGGCTTCAAGTTCTTGAGCTTCTTTGGATCAAACTCCCATGGCCCTGCACGCTCCACCTATGCATGGCACATGTAAAAAAACGCGTGGGCTGAGTGCATGAATGGCAAGCCGAAAAGAAAAGCATGTACACGGGTGCAGGTACAGACAGACACGCATACATCCACAACCACAAACACGCAGGGACGAGAGTGGTCGCCTTACGTGCTGGTTTTGCATGTCCTGTGGGAGCGCCTTTTTGATGTCTTGCAGCGTCCATGCCGAGCCAGAGCGGCCCACTGTGCCGTATTGGGGGAGCCGAGCACAGAGGCTGACGTGAGGGGAGCGAACGAGCACAGGCACACAGAGGGAGAGAGACACACACACACACATACACACGCACACAAACGCACACAAACACACACACACACACACACACACACACACCCTTTGCTTTGCCGCGCTTCCTGCGCGACTGTGCGCGAACGGACTCGCGTGCGGCCCTGGCCAGCCCACTGAGACGCGTGTCGGACTGCGTGGAGGAAAGCATCATGCACAGACAGCCAAGCAAGAAAGGAGACAAGGAAGCAATGAGAGGAGGCGGAACGATCAGCGCAGTGTGGGTGGACGCGTGAAAATAAATGGGAGCCCTGCTCTCGCTTTTCCACAGTACTGTCTCGCCAACACCGCTCACATCACTGCTCGTGCAGTGCGGGTGAAAGCAGTGCACGAGCACACCATTGTTGTTGCTGTTGTTGCTCGTTGTAGGTCAACAGACTCAACCCTTCGTTCATCCACCATCAACCCAACACAACCAGGCACCAGGCACAAGAGCAAGCAAGAAGGACTTCTTGCCATGTCTGCGTTTGCTTCTTTCTTTTCTTTGCCTGCCAGGAATGTACATTTCTGTGTGTCGCCTGTCGCACATCGTGTGTGTGTGTGTGTGTGTGTGTGTGTGTGTGTGTGTGTGTGTGTGTGTGTGTGTGTGTGTGTGTGTGTGTGTGTGTGTGTGTGTGTGTGTGTGTGTGTGTGTGTGTGTGTGTGTGTTGATGATGATGATGATGATGATGATGATGATGAAGATGATGAAGACCACACAAGGGTTGGCACAGAGCATGCCACGAAGGACAACACTGAGAACGACGACACAAAGGTTGACACAGAGGATGTTGCTCACACGAACATCTTCTGCAAACGTGCGTGTGTGCTGTGTACTACGAACAAACAGCAAAACAAACTCACAGGCCAAGGAAGCGCGCTGTTGAAATAACGTCAAGTCACACTTCCACATCATATCAACGCCCCATTACAATCATATCAACACCCACTCCTCCTCGTCCTCCTCCAACCCCCCCCCATCCTGTCCAACGCATGTGTGCAGCACATGACACCCTGCTGAGTGCGCCCATTGTTCCATTGTTCTTGTTGGTGCTGGCAACTGAGAGAGAGAGAGAGAGGTACAGACACGGTTCCCCGCCAAATCACATCACTTGGTGCTCTGCCCGGTCCATTGTGATTGCATCTCTGACACTGCCGCTCTTGCCACCGCCTTTCCCGCCTGCTCCGTCACCGTGTCCATCCAGCCAACACCAGTCTGGCCCTCCTGTGTGTTGTATATTTGTGTTGTGAGAGGGAGGGGGGGGTTACACAGATGAGCAACGCGTGAAGGACGAGGAGAGCGAGCTTTCATATTCACACACACACATAATATACATGTATACACGTTCACGCAAACACCCACATTCACACAATACACACTTGCGCACCTTGACTTCCTCCGTGCTCCCAATGAGACTTTCTTCGTCGTCTGCAATCCCTTCTTGCAGTTGCATTTGCACGGCATTGCGAACACGCTGCAGCCGCACGCACACACACACACATGGGTACAAGCACTCAAGGGTGAGAAGAGCAACGTTTGTGCACGCATGCAATGACGTCAAACCACGACCAAAACATGAGGCAAAGAGTACACTTGCCAACAGTTGCACAGTTCTACACTGCACACACACACACACACACACACACACACACGTACAGGAGGGCCGAGCCAGTCCATGAAGTACAGGAATCCCGTGCCAAAGGTGAGCAGGCCCGCAAGAATCGAAGACACCCCAAGGCAGAAGAACATAAACACACACAACCTGCAGCAGCGTGTTGTGTGTGTGAGCGCGTGAGTATTTAAAACACGACGAAGCAAGCAAACCAAGTAACTTCAACAAACCTAGCAGCAAACAGTCACATCATTGCTGTAGGCACTCTTCTCTTCCCCCCTCCCCCATGAACACAAAACCACATACTGTTGGTCAACGTACAGCATGTAGGCGAGGGCTCTGTATCCTGAAGGGACTTTCTCCGCCCGTGTTGTCCAAGGTTTTGCAAAATCGATGCACTGGCAGATGACCGGCACCTCCAGCACGCCAACAACAAACGAGCAGCACAGCATGTAGATGCCAACCACCCAGCATATGGCGCTAAGCGAGATGATGGTCAGGATGCCACCAATCATCAGCACTGCGGCACCAGCGAGAGAGGGAGAGCGAGTGGGGACATGTGTATGTATATGTGTGTATGTGTGCGTATGTGTGTGTGTGTGTGTGAGGGGAGAGGTAGAGAGAAAGAGGCAACACAAGCACACCCGGTTGCAAGAGGTGCATACACATCTCCACATCCATTCACGCATCCGCACACACATGCACACACACACACACACACAAGCACACACACACACACAAGCACACACACACACACATACACACAAGCACACACACACACGCACCGAGTGTTGCAAACACGCCACAGATGCGGGCGGCAAGCCGCCAGCCGCATAGCGACTCGATCATCCCAGCCATGATGGCGTCCGCAGTCTCCTTGTGTCGGTCAGAGGGTCAGAGGGTCAGCACAGGGAGCTCACACCTTGCGCTTCACTCGTTGGTGGTGGTTCGTGTGGTGCAGTTAGTTGGTGCAGTTGGTGCAGTTGGTGCAGTTGGTGAGTCAGCGGAGAAGCAAGAAGTGAGACTCGTTCGTTATTTCAGGCACCACCACTGAATTCAGTCAACAGAAACTGAATTCAGTTTCAGAGCGGTTGGCGTGTGTCGAATTTTCGCCACTCCATTCTCCTTTTTCGCAAGGGCGGCAACAGTTCGAAAACGAACAACAACACGTTCACATTGTCACACACACCACCACCCGCCACGCATCATCATGGCACCACGGCGATCGACGAGGCTGAAGAAGGGAGGGGGAGGAGGAGGAGGGGGAGAAAAGCAAGGGCAGCGGTCGCGTGGCGAGGAGAATGAGGAAGGAAAGAGGTCACGCACACGGCACTCGCACGAAAGCGACATGAGTTGTGACCATGATGATGGTGATCACGCGGGTGACTGCAAGCAAGTGCAGACACGAACACGACAAAGCAGAAGAACAACGAGGCGGCAGCAGCAAAACGCGCCAGAACAGCAGCAACAACAAGAACAAGCAGCAGCGACAACATCCTCCAAAACACGCACAGCGACACGCTCATCAACACGTCATGTGACTCAAAACGTCACCGACTCTGAGGACGGGGATGAGGAGGAACTGGAGCAACCACGGCGGAAGACCCGGTCTAGAACGCGCGCCACCACCACCACAACAACAACAACAACAGCGACAAAGCCATCGACAACACACACGAAAGCGCAGACCCGCCAACAGCGGCGTCGCAAGGCGAACCGCAGTGATGATGACCAACATGACACGAGTGAGGAAGAGGCACGGCGAAACATAAGGGCGTCCGCACAACACCGCAGCACTGTGTCATCGTCGCCGGCATCTTCATCTTCCGCCGTGTTTGAATTTGATGACGACAGCTCGCAAACTGAGCAGGATGATACGCGCCAATCATCAGCGGCAACGCTTTCGTCGTCGTCACCACTTGTGGCGCCCAGCATCCGGCCAGCGTCGCGGCGAAGGCAGCATCAGCAACGACAACAACAAGAACGCCGGCCGTCGTCAGCACGTGCGGCACAGTTGAGCGGAAAGCCCGCCAAAACGACACCGCGAGGCAGCGGGGCCTTTGATGCGGTACGCACTCCACGTGTTCACGTCACCAGCACGCCAAGCGCCTCTGGTGTGGCTCCAAGCCACAGCCTCACCTCCATCCTCAGCTCTTCCCTTCGCAAGTCGGCCTCAAAGGTGCAGAAGGCAACACGTGCACACGTGTGTGTGTGTGTGTGTGTGTGTGTGTGCGACTGTGTGCGACTGTGTGTGAGTAAGTGTGTGAGTAGATGTGAGAGTGTGCGGGTAGATGTGAGAGTGTGTGGGTAGATGTGCGCGTGTGTGTATGCTTATGTTGTGTGCTTGTGAAAAGCGTGTGTGTGTGCATGCTCGAGGAGACCTGGTATGCAGTTCGTTCTGCTCACATGCGATTGCGAATGTGGTTTGTACTTTTGCTCCTGTCGTGATGCCACCACCAGTCAAAGCTCAACGTGTCGTGGAGTCCAAACCTGGCAACGCACTCAACACCATCTGCTCGCCGCTTTTCCCGCCAAGTGCCGAGTACGTGGTGCCAGTCGTTGATACGAAGCGTGATGATGGATATTCACATCAAACAAACACGCTGGAGCTGCCAACGTCCCTCACAATATGCACACACGCGCTATGCAGCGACCATCCATCTCACCTACTTTGCCTTCTCACTTCGCCCACTCCACATGCTCCTCTTCATCTGCAGATGTGTCGTCCCTGCACGCGTCTGCGGTTGGCGCTGCCTCGTTATCATCATCATCATCGTCATTGTCATCGTCGCGGCCGCCATCGCGTGACGTCGTCCAGTCCAGCATCCTGTCGGGCCTCACCCCCGTCAAGCACCCGCACCTCCATGCCATCATCAACAGCACCCAGCACCACGTACGTGCATGAATGTGTGTGTGTGTGTGTGTGTGTGTGTGTGTGTGTGTGTGTGTGTGTGTGTGTGTATGTGTGTGTGTGTGTGTGTGTGTGCGTGCGTGCGTACGTGTGTGTGTATGTGTGTGTGCTGGATGTGTACTCCTTTCCCCTTGCTGTTGCTTTCTCGCTCGTTTGTGCGTATATGTTTGTTTGGTGCAATCCCCCTTGTGTCCGATGACACAGACCCTTCTGTGCTCCCGTTCCCTGTGTGTGTGTGTGTGTGTGTGTGTGTGTGTGTGTGTGTGTGTGTGTGTGTGTGTGTGTGTGTTCTCTCCTCTTTCCGTGCAGACATCATCGCCTTTATCGTCGTCACCCTCGCTCAGCGCCCGTCTCTCAGGTACCCCCAATGACACAATGCTGCCTCCTTCAGCACACGCACATTCGAGCTCACGAGCTCACGAATGTGTGTGTGTGTGTGTGTGTGTGTGTGTGTGTGTGTGTGTGTGTGGACATACGCATAAGTGAGCAAACTTGTGCTAACCCAAGAGCACACGTACACACACACCCACGCACACGCGCGCGCGCGCGCACACACACACACACACACACACACACACACACACACACACACACTTTCGCGTGCGCGCGGTAGATGACGCGTCGTTGGGCGATTCCTTCGCAGAGGACTTTGAGCATTCGTTTGACGTCGACCGCACCAGACCCGATGACAATGACGACCGTGACGACCGTGACCGTGACGAGCACGTGTACAGTGGCGATGAGTATTCGTTTGACGACAGCCAAGCGCCGGCACACGAGCAGCGTCACCATCATCGCCGCCAGCATCGCCAGCATCGCCGGGGTGCCAAGTCGCGTCGAGTTGCGGCACTGAGGGAGCGGAGCACCAACACGCCGTCGCCGCCATCATCATCGCCAGCAGCGAAGACGCGAGCACAGGCATCACGCGGTCACGGTCGTCGTGGTGGTCGTCGTGGTCACCACCGTGATGACGACAGTCAATCGCTGGGCACGTATGCGCTCGAGTTGCCGGCCAAGCGTGGAAAGCGGGCGAGCAGGGCACCGCCATCGCCGTCAACAGCAACAGCATCGACGGTGCCGGGGAGCAAGACGGGGAAAGGAGGGCGAGGGAAGACGCAGAAGCAGCAGCGCGCTGAGGAGCGAGCGGCGTGGCGACAGCGACGGGAGGAGGAGTTGAGGAAGAAGAGGGAGATGTTCGCTGCACTCGACGACTTTGAACTCGAGGTCATGTAGTCGGTTGGTGGTGGTGTTGTTGGGTGTTGGTGTTGTTGCTGGGTGTTGGTGGTGTTGTTGGTGGGTGTTGGTGGTGTTGTTGGTGTTGTTGGTGTTGGTTTGTTTCGTTTCGTGAGGTGGGTAGCAAGTGTTTGTTGTTGGGCGCCGCTGTTGGTTCTGTTTTGTTGGGTTGTGTGTTGGTTGCTTGCTACACCTTTCGCGTTTTATCACCACCACCAGCACCACCACCACCAGCACTTTTGATCTCGACTTTTGTTCCTTTCTCTCCGTTGTGGCTTCTCGTCCACACGCACATCTCCTCCCACACCTCCGCCTTTTTTGAACACACAACATGTGAGGACCACATTTTGTTGTTCTGATTCTGTTACATTTTGCCCTCCTGTTGTAGAAAGCACAAATCCCATGTTCATCGCACCTGCTTGCCCCCCGCTGCCATGTGTTTGCCACAGGTGTGTGAAGTGTGTGCCTTCACGCCAACATGGCACGAATGCATGCACGCACATTCTTACACATGAAGTTGTATTACATTACGTAAGAACGGTTTGTTTACCCTGTTGACAACTCAGCAAATGAAGCGCCAGCAAGCAGCGAGGCTCAATCATACCATTACATCAGACAAAACATAAAACACAGAATGCACATGCACACCTTTCTTGATAAGAGACACAGACAGACAGACAGACAGACAGACAGACAGACAGACAGACAGAGACACAGACAGACAGACAGACAGATAGATACAGACACACAGAAACACACAGACACAGACACAGACAGACAGACAGACAGATAGGTACAGACACACAGAAACACACAGACACAGACACAGACAGACAGACAGACAGACAGACAGACACACACACACCTCAGGTGCACGCGGGCGCCCACTGCTGCTTGATGTTCTGTAGGGACGCCTGTGCTTCCTGCGACTGCTCTTCGCTCAACCCAACAGCGGCCATCACCCGCGCAATGTCCAGAATCGCATCAATACCACCGCCAGCGACGCTGCTGCTAGCGACGGCGTCGCGCGGGGGTGGTTGTGTTGGGATCTTCCCAAACGTAAACGCGCGGCTTTGAAACGCATCTGCATCTGCAGCGTCCACGTGTTCTGAAAACGCGCGACCGCCTGTGGCCGTTAGCGCATCGCCAGCAGGACCCCCGCCAACACGCTTTGCACCAGGCACCCGCTGCTGCTGCTGCTGCTGCTGCTGCTGCTGCTGCTGCTGCTGTTGCCTTTGAAACATCGATGACGACGATGATGATGACGATGACGAAAACCGCTGCTGTTGACCGAAGAGCCCAGCAGCCTTGCTGCCTGGCGCTGCAGACTGTTTCCCGAACAGCGACTGCCCCGCAGGCGGCTGTGTAGCTGATGTTTGGCCAAACGTTGTCTTGGTGGCCATCTGCGTTTGGCCAAACGACACGCCACCACCGCCACTACTCTGAATCTGCCCTTGTGGTTTCTGTCCAAACAGACTGGATCCCTTGGATTGCGGCTGTTGCTGTTGACCAAACAGCCCACCTGCGGCTGCCGGTTTCTGCCCAAACAAAGCACTCCCTTTGGACTGTGGCTGCTGCTGCTGCTGCTGTTGCTGTTGGAACAAGCTGCCGCCTCCACTTGGCTTTTGGCCAAAGAGACTCGATCCTTTCGACGTTTGTGGCTGTTGTCCAAATGTCGGCTTTCCTTGCTGTGCTTGCCCAAACATACTTTGCTGCTGAGTTCCTTGTTTGCCAAACATACTTCCTTGCTGCTGAGTTCCTTGTTTGCCAAACATGCTGCCTTGCTGCTGTGTTCCTGCCTTCCCAAACAGACCACCACCGCCGCCGCCACCGCCTTGTGGCTGTGTCGTTTGCTTTCCAAACATGCTGCCTTGTGGCTGTGTCGTTTGCTTTCCAAACATGCTGCCTTGCTGTTGTGTCCCTGGCTTGCCAAACATACTTCCTTGCTGCTGTGTTCCTGCCTTCCCAAACAGACCACCTCCACCACCACCGCCACCACCGCCTTGCTGCCCAAACATGCCCTGTGGTTTCTGCGCGCCACCGGCCCCGCTTGCACCAAACAAGGAGCCACCAGCCCGCTGTTGTTGCTGTTGCTGGCCGAACCCTGGCTGCGTTGTACCACCCATCTTCCCAAACAAGGACCCGCCTTTCGACTGCCCCGGCTGCCCCGCCTGTCCACCGAACAGCGAGGACGGCCGCGCCTGCTGCTGTTGTGCGCCGCCGCCAAACATCCCCGTTTGCTGGGGCGCACCGCCACCTTGGCGAAACAGGGACTGGCCCATCTGCGCTTGCTGCTGGCCAAACATTGCCTGTTGGCGCTGTCCACCACCACCGCCACCGCCAAACAGCGATCCCTGCTGCGCGGGTCGTTGCGCGCCACCACCACCAAACAGCGACATGACAGGCAGGTTGTTGTTCGCGCTGGATGCTTTTTTCGCCGGCTGTTGCTGCTGGTGGATTTGGAAGAGTGGTGGAAGATGTGAATGATTTTCCGCGAAACGGCAACGGCGATGAACGACATGGCACACCAAGCACATCACCAAGCACATCATCAAGCAAGGGCGTGTGCGCTGCGTGTCGCAGAGGCACTGGCGCAGCTTGGATACGGGGCCAATACCAGTGGTCGGAGTGGGCTTGGCGAGGAACACATCACGGCACAGCATGTCTTTGACGAAGCAGAGACACACTGGGACTCGCTTCTCAGGTCTGTGCATGGAAGGGAGAAGGTTTCGTTGCAGTGTAGGTGACACGTGGGTGACATGCCACCTCTTCAGTTGTGTCATACCCGCAGTGAATGTTCACGCAGCACTGCATTCCATTCCAGGTGGATCTTCAACGCTGCTGGCCTGAGTGTCGATAGCGCGTCAGGTGAGCGAAGACCACGCAGAGTGCTGTGTGGTGTGACAAAGGGGGTGTTTTGTTCCCTGTTTTGCGTGCACTTTCTTCCGCGCATCATTGCCTGGCACACCATGCAATGACGATGATGTTGCGGTGCGCGGTGGCGTTTGACTTCGCTGCAGACTACGTAGACACGTGCGTACTGCTGGGTTTGTGCAGCCGGGAAGCAGCAACAAAGTCACTGCCATCATTTGACGGCTTCAAGGCATCGCCCACCTCATCGACGCTAATGCAGCGCATGCAGTTCTTGGACGACCTCACTGCGATTGCTGTTGTCCTGCGGTGAGACGCTCAGCACTGGGATGGGTGCTGACAGCATCATCTTGCCGCCTCCTGCTGCTTCTGCGTGTGATATTGTTGTCACGGCTGCTGCCACGACTGCTGCCGCTGCTGTTGCGCTCATGTGACGCTGTTACTTGCATGAACAGCGAGGACACCAACGACGTCAGCGACACGTGGCAGCAGGATGCAGCGTTGCTCGAGCAGCTTTCGCGTGAGGAGGATCTGGACCGAGTAAGTCGTTGTTGTGTGTGTGTGTGTGTGTTCGTGTGTGCGTGATTGTGCGTGATTGTGTGTTTGTGTGTGTGTGCGGATGCGCAGATGTGTGTGCGTGATTGTGTGTGTATGTGCGAATGTGTGTATGCGCGGACATATACGTGTGTGTGTGTGTGTGTGTGTGTGTGTGTGTGATTGAGTGAGTGCTCGCGCGCCCACTTGCTTTAGAGCGCTCACGTGTCTGCTGCTCTGCCTCGATCGCACCCGCCCAGTTGTTTCCGGAAACATGTCAGCTTTTCCCTGCAGACTTTCCCATGGACGACTCCCAAACGTACTGGCCATGCATGATGCAATTTTGCTGGAATGAAAGTACACTTTGAGTTTCATATCCTTGGTTCTTGGCAGAGCACATACGTGGGTTGTGCTCACTCGCTCCACATCCACATACACACACACACACACACACACACACGCTCACACACAAATGCGCAAACACACACACACACACCCTATCTGTGCAGGGCGCAGGAAGCGCTGCGTGCGTTGAAGAGAGAAAACGACAGTTTGGAGACGCAATTGGCGGAAATCCAGCAGCAGCTCACCGCAATTCACGCCGGCAGACGACACAAGGTGAGCAGGTGGTGGTCCCACCACTTCTCAACGGTCGTCTGCGTGTTCTTGTTCTCTTTCTTCATTTTGTCCTGCAACCGCGTTGACATGATACTGGCTTGGCACCAACTCACGCCTTGCCATCACCTCCATGAATTGCATTGAAGATGATTGATGACTCTGCACTGCACACAAAACTTCGCCAGCTCGACGTGTCTCTCAGAACTCTTTCCCAGGTGGTGATGATGCATTGTGTGTGTGTGCGTGTGTGCGTGCGTGTGTGCGTGTGCGTGTGTGTGCGTGTGCGTGCGTGTGTGTGTGTGCTTGCTCGTGCGGAGAGCTGCCTGCTTCAGGCCTTGTTCATCCTGCAAACACATGGTTACACACTCACACACATCAGCACAGGCAACATTTGCCAAGTTCGACTCACATCTCATTGTGCGCTGCTTTCACATTGCAGGTGGCGGAGAACTTCCAATTCACGTACAGCGATTACATCAGCACTCGTCCAAACAGGTGCGCCACCACCTGCTGTGTCTGATTACACACCCACACACACACACATACACACACACACACACACTTGTTTCAGAAATCAATCACTTCTGCTTGTTGCTCTATTGTGCAGGGTGCCTGAGAACACGGACTTGGTGTCATCGCTGGACACCGTGTCAACAGCAGCGCTGGCCCTCTCAAACGTGAGCGCATCTCGGGGAATGATGGTGATGCTTGGCCGCACCATGGTGTTGCATTGCACTGGTTTCCGTTCTCCTTTCCTTCCTTCCATCTCATCCACACACACACACACACACACACACACACACACACACACACACACACACACACACACACACACACACACACACACACACACACACACACACACACACACACACACACACACACACACACACAC